TGGAAACGTTTGGGCGGCTTCTCGAAAAGCGAGAGATGGCGAACAGCCGCATCGGGCCCAACGCGAAAGAACAAACGACAGCGTCAAATCCTTTTGTCGGAATGTATGTCGAATGATTGAGAAGGAAAGCATGTTTATGGAAAGAGATAGATTTGGCTTCAGGTAAGGATGCAAGGGCACGAGGCAGTCAGAAGAGAGTTGAGAATCGAGTGGAGAATTGAGAAGAGTGTCAGAAGAGATTCGAGTCGAGACGTGTGAGAAACTTGGTGTAATATTTTAATTAAATAAAACCTGTTTTGTTACAAAAAGAGAGGTATTGCCAAAAATCCTACGTATATATATATACCATCAACCACCAATCCGTCTCTACATTATCATTTTTCGAATGATGTATTATAATCCTTTACCCTATCTCGACATTTTCTTAACGTAATATGCTACGCGTTTACCCTCTACTTTTCTAGGGTACCAGGGATATTTTTGGAAAACTGAGAAGTATTTAAATAAATTCGACAGTGTTTTTGGAATAATTTATTTGGACAGATTACTTCAGAAAGAAATTAACAAAGATCAGATTCTTTATGGAAACAAAGAAAGCAACAATCCCGAGAAACTCCAAGACCAAATTTCACCCAAAACCCAACATCGACCTAAATAACGACAACTCGAGGGAAAAGGAAAAGAAGATCGGTAGAACAAGAGGAAAATCCTATGCCACCATAACTAGACGGCAGTATTCTCCAACTAATAACCGATCTGAAAGTCGTATCCAACCCCGGCACACTCTCTGTCGTTAAAAGCAAACGAAAACGTTTCACAGACTTTACCTTCATCCTTCAGCGGCCATTCCAGCATGCGCAAAGGTAACGGAGTGAAACATTTCGGGGACCATTTACCCGGTTCAGAACGACTGGAAAAATACGCGAAAAGGAGAGAAGCGTCAGCAGCGAAGAGAAAAGCGAAGCAGCTGGCTCGATGACGTCACTACCTGTCTTACAGCTCTGCCAACACCCCTTGGGGTATGGGTCAGTCCTGGTACACACCCAAGAGCTCCGTCCAACTATTCCAAGTGGCGGAACTTCATTTGCGAACGGGCCGCATTTTCCGGAAACGCGACGCGCGCGAGCCTCGAGTTTCCTCGAGTATTTCCAGAGAAAGGCACACGCCGACTCCGCCCCCTCCGACCCCCTCCGCGCTTTTCCAGCGCCGGGAGATTTTCTGCTCGCGAATTTCTTCGCAGCCGACAGCGTCCCGCGAGCACTTCCGGTCGGTCCTCGCTAGTTCCTGCCACCAGGGTATGCGTTTCGTGCATGGGCAGAGAGGGAGAGAGAGAAAGAGAGCGAGAGTCGTCCAGTGCAGGTGTTCGAGACGCAGAGGGGTTGTTATTGAGAGTGGAGAACGAGTCGATAATCGCGGAGGGTGATTTGGCAGAGTGCTGGAACCGGATATTTAATTGAACTGGTGGGAGTTGCAGAGTCGAGCAAGAACGTTGGAAACTGGAAAAATTAATCGTTTCAACGTTTAGATGCTTGGGAATACCGGAAATGAATATTTTCGTGGATTTAAATGGTAGTTCCAGTTTCTCCATGATCTCTCGCTTTTCGCGGGTTTAGATGCTAGTTCCTGTTTTCCCATGATCTCTGGCAGAGAAGCAAGAATGGCGAACTGGTGGAAATTGCTCGACTATTTGAACATTTAAATATTTGGAAATAACAATATTTTAATTATTAATAAATATTAATATAATAATATAAGCCTGTTTGTGGCTTACATAATATAATATAATTATATAATTATATTATAGGAATCCACAAGCAGGCTTTGTAATTGTAATTAATATTTATAGAAGAAATGAATATTTTTGAGGATTTAAATGGTTCCTCCAGTTTTCCATGATCCCTGGCAGAGAAACGAGAATAGCGAACTGGTGGAAATTGCTCGACTATTTCAACATTTACATGTTTGGAAATATCAATATTTTAATTATTAATAAATATTAATATAATAATATAATTATATAATTATATTATAGAAAGCTACCAACAGGCTTTATTTTCTCTTCAGCTTACAGAAATAATGCGTATGTGTTAAATTTAACATAATTGTAATTAATATCTACAGAAAAAACTTGAAACTGTTGGTAATTTTACTATGACTCTCTACATACAGTGGCTCACAGAGGTATCGAATATATATGAATTTTCATGAAAGTTTGTAAGACTTTGTTACACTGTTAATTTGTAATATTTCAAACGAGTATTCTATGTACGTACGTACAGTATGACTTATACTGTGCAGTAATTCTTTGGTACACGGAATATCGCTTCAAGGTGCTAAAATGCAAATTGAAGATGTCAGTTACATCGTAGGAAAAAGAAAAAGTATATGAAGACTTCGATCGTTGAATAATCAGAATTACAAAGTTGGATAATTTCCTTGAAACAGATCGTTTGAATACCTCTATGTACCAGCGTATTTCCTCTAATTGATTTCACTTATATCCACAGTATCAATGTGAAAAAATCAAGGTTGAAAAGCTGCGTGAAAAGGAAGATTTCAATTATAATCGAATAAACGCCCGCTGTTAGATAATTAAAGTTAGCAACTGTAATTACGCAGCGCTCTGTATACATTATTACAACTCTCCGGCATTATCTATTATTTCTATGAGAATAATCAACGAAATGATTGCAGTTAACGACTAATTAACGAAGTTAGTATACAGGAGATCTTAATTTACACCGTAGACGTTTCGAAACGGTTAAGTTACGTGTTAACGTTGAGTTAACAAATAGGGAACCGCGATATTCTATGTTATTATTTGCTCCTATATTTATCTATTCTTAGATAATGGTCCAGAATGATACTAATCGATTTGTCATTTAGGTGCACGTCGATAAAGAGCACGTAAGGTTGCGTAACATGATGTCACTGTGTTGATCGCAGGCTGGCTCAATTTAATCGAGGAAAGCGTAATTGCTTTCGTTGACAGTTAACGTAGGTCAGTGCCAATCGAGAACTAAAATTAAAATCGAAAAAGTTAGCATCGATTTAACGTAAATAATACATCGAACTACGAGAGAGGTTAGGTTGCGTAAGATGTACCTTATCGACCCGCGCTTAATACGACAAGTCGATATCCATCGACGATAACCCGCTGTACTCCTTCATGCAATTTATCGATAATTATACAGGAGTAATTAACTCCTGCAAACAGATTCAATTCTGCACTTCATTAAACCGCAGTTATATCATAACGCTGCGAGACACTGGCACTTTTATAAACTACCGTTACGCAGGATACGCGTTATAAATTAAGGTTATGTTCGCGCCAACTGTATATCGTAACGAACGCTGTTCCATAAATTCTTTTGTTCGAATAAAATACATCCGTATGAGCCTGGTCGCGAGAGGATCGATCTTATTCGCGGAAGAAATTGCTAATTAAAATACTTTACGTTCCGATCGCTTTTAATCGACTAAGGTCAACGGTTTCATTGCATCGATATACAGTCACGAGCATAAGTATTAGCACACCTGGTTTTTAACGATGTAAATGCTTAAAAATCGAAAATAAAACAAAATATCCGATTAATTTTTTCCTTAATCATAACTGTAGTACGTAGTACGTAGTTACGGTTAATAAAAAGTTAATTATATATTCTGTTTTTTCATGCGATTTTTAAGAATTTATATCGTCAAAAACCAGGTGTGCCCATACATATGTTCGCGATCGTCTATTTCTTCGTATTGCAAAGAATATACGTCGGTAACGCGAACGCTCGAGATAAGGACAGCTAGTGGAATTAAAACGGGAAATGCACCCGGCTATACGGCGAGCAGCTAATTAGTCGACGATAAATTCGCGTTACGATCTGACGTCGCGTCGAGTCGAACGGTTAAACCGAGGGAGAGATCGATTATGCGCGGAGACACAAAAGCGTTGACCCTTACCGTGAGACGATTCCTTTCACCAGGATTTTCGCCGATCTATTATCGACCGAGCAACTCGCGTAAACAAAGTCGTAACCTCTTCCCTGAATTCGCTTCTGCCTTGCTCGAGGAATCAACATGGTCGGCGTTCCGAACGGAAACATAACCTCTCCACGATTTTCCGTGATACGTTTACGCGTGACGTGGTTAAAGTAATGTCGAAGAGAAATGAAAAGTTTCGATAATAAAAAGAATCGAATGTAAAGATACTCGCGTGGAGTTATTAAAGTTTCCATTAAGGGGAAACTTTTGGGAAATTTTCGCGAGGTTAATGGAAGCTGGGAAGAGTCGTTTGCGAAGAAGCTGAATGGGGTGTTATGTGAATAGACCATCTGGTTAGGGAAAACGTACGCGAATGTACGTTTCGTATATCTCGCATAGAGACGGTATTTCCAAAGCGATATTAATCCCTTTCCCTTTTTCGAAACGCTCTTTCGAGAGCCGTTCGCAAAAGCTCCATTGTATCCGAAGAGAAGTTATTCGAAAATCGTAATAAACCGATCGTTAAGCGATACGATCGACAAGGGGAAGCGAAATGAAAAAACAGAACGATATTAACGGTATATTGTGCCGAGAATATCGCATAGAATACCGGAAACCACGTGAGAAAACACAGAGTCGATGGCGCGAGCGTTAGGAAAAAGGGGGGAAAAAATTGCACGGGCATAAAGACAGTAGCATACGCGCCTGGACGAAACAATCGCGCGCGTCTCTCGATCGAGAAATCGCATCGCCGTCTAACCTCAATGACACAATCGAGCGGAGGCAGTGAACTTCTCTCCGGCGTCAGACTATTTCAAGCTCTCGAAACGCGGCAGGACAAGAGAGAGAAGAAAACCAGTTCACTGCGCGCGTAGAGCTACGTGACTTACGTAAAATATAATACGCTTCCGAGGAGAGACTCGATGCGTCCACGCGCACATATATATACGTATATACGCGCGCATACGTGCACACACGTCGCCGCTTGGATCATTACTCGCAAAGGACAAAATTCATCGACTTACGTCAACTGCAAGCTCCACTCTCGATCGATACACCGCGATATTTCTCTCCCACTCTGCCTGTCTCTGTTGCTCTTTCACAGCCGCTGGCTCCGACCCTTTGTTCCTATCGTCCCGGTGGATTCTCACTAATAAGCACCAAACAAAACCGAACAAGAGTAATGCGTAAAGTAAGGGAAACAGGAAAAACAGTCTTCTTTTGTCACGAATCACGGACAACGCGAACGATAGAAGAAAGGGTAAAGGAAGACGCACGCAGAAAAGCAAACAAGAGAAAAACGTCGAACACAACACACACGCGGGCCGCGATTCCGGCGCACAGCTGGTAGAACGTCGTCGTGCGCGTTACGCTGTGTACCGGCCACTCCAAACTCCGGCTGCCGTTTCAAGGGCAAGGCTAGCCCTCGTCGTCGAAAGAACGCGGTATTATCATCGCGTTACAGACGAATCCCTAGCCTTGGAAAATGAAAACAACCTCTACACGATCGACCGTCTTGCAAACCAAACCGAATTTTCTCTGTGAATCGAGTCGATCCGGTCGAGCTTTTGTTCCGTGTCAAGAGGAGAGGCCGAGCTCGTCACGAACCAACTCCTTCGATGGACGCGACGATACTGAGGCGCCGGCGTGTTTATTGCCCCCACCACCGACCGCCCCCCGCTGCTTCCAGCGACCTATCCCCACCACCGCCGCTGCTCTTTCCTCCTTCGCTTAACCATGCCGGATTCTTCCCCTACCACGCCACTCTCCCCACTACCACCATCCATTCGACCCTCTCCTACCTACATCCCGGGTCTCAGCTGTCCTACGGGTGTTCTGCTTCAAACCTTTTCCCTCCTGCTCGGGCTATCGTTTTATCCTCGTTCCTTCTGTATCCTTTCTCTATTTCTATCCCTCTTTCTGGCAACCCTGATCCACCACGGGACACGTCCTTGTTCGCAACGTTTCCCCTGCGTTATTCCTTTCTTTCCTCTCCGTCTCGCTCTCACTCACGACTCCCGCGTTGGACTATTCCTTTCTTTCACGCGGCTGAATTCGTGGCATAAACTGGGTCGTTATGTTCGCGTTGACACACGCGTGTTTTCGTCGTTCGCCGGGCTTTTTCCAGTTTTCCCGGTGACAGGCATAAACACCGGCGAACCTTATCGAAAACACGGGGTTTCCCCTTCGAACCCGTTACACGCGTTTCACGGTTAGGACGGGGGGAAAGTCTGACTGAGGATTAGCCGGTGGAGTCTCACCCGGCGAATCCAATGCCAGTGACGCAAACTGCGCCAAGGATTCACCCTCGCGAGGCGAGCGACTATGCAAATGTGGGCTACGCGAAAGAACTGCGAAAGTCGACTATTTCCTAGAGAGCTACGGAACTGCTAGGGATTATGCATTTTCTATTGCGTCTCTCTTACGTAACGGAGGTTAAACGTGTAGTCGAGTTTTATGGACTGCTGCGAACAATTTTCTGTCTCGTCAAGGGTCAAGGTGTATTCGATGGGAGTTTATAGATCAAAAGCGAAAGATAAATTTCATTGTTCGACTGATTGGCACTTGTCATCGGATATGAAGGTCTTTTTCCATGGTCTAAATAAAACTATCGTCCCTGTGTTTCTCTTCCAAGGGGAATTTTTCTGTAGAGGAAAAAGGGAACAGAATTTCTCTTCGAAAAGAGGACGCGTGTATACGAAACTCATTTAACGGGACAGCAGTTGTTTTGTAAATAGTTTATAGAATCACTGTTCGGTGGAAGTTGAAAAATTTGGTTACCGTGCACTCCTCTGAGGCATTTACCGTATCGAATTCGATTATTTTTCCCAATTAACGTGCTTCCATCTGGAAACAAAATTCGAACGACTCCTCTGTATTGTATTTCTACGACGATTTCCTCCAAACGAAGTTTGTTTCGTTTGCACGTCCAACAAACCTGCGTAAATATTGCGACACGGATTCGGAAAATAAATCAACACTGGTGTCGTAATCCGTGCGCAAACTAAGATATAAATTTCGCTTCTTCGTTTCTTCGAATGTTTATTAAAATTCTATGTACCAGCGGAATAGCAATTCTCCCCTCGAGACAAGAACAAATTTCCGTAATCGTACTAGCGACATGCATCCGCGAAGAAAAACGTATAATTCAATAATTCTACAGTTCTCGTGAAAACACTGTTTCTAAAATTTCGTTTCTGTCGAAAGTTTGATTATTTTCCTAAAAATAACATCCCACATATTTTTCTGCGAATTAAAATTTCTGTAGTCCTATGATCCCTTGTTCCACTTGTTCGCTATCTCTACAGAAACACACTCGTTGAAATGCTATTGTAGTCAAAGAAACAAGGCACCCACTGTCACGACAAATACAAATTTACACAATGGTAGTACAGGTGAAACACGTGAAAGGTGAAATAAAACCAAAATTCTGTGATTCTGTACTATCTGTTCACCAGTGTTTCGGCAACAACGACCTTTGTCGATTTTACCTGTACCAAATGGACGAAACTGAGATCTTCCATCGCGTGGAATTAATCGTTCTCCATTGGCAATAACGTATTCGTGGCACGTTCTACCGGAAGCGCGATCGTAGGAAGCACAGAGATAAAAAGTGAATCTTTACGCGGCAGAAAATATGGCGATCGTTTAACAGTAAATCCTGCGCGGTCGCATAAAGCGGGCGGTTAATCCGGCTCGCATAAACGATAGTATGGCACTACGTTTCACGGAGGCCGGGATAAAAATGGTATTGTGCAATTATCGGACGCTGTGTCCTTTTCCTTTTTCGCGAAGGACGAGGGAAAAAGAAGCATCGATACCTTTTCTTCTTGCTAGGCGAGACACTCGCGGCCATTTATTACGGTATTCATTTATTAAGACCACCTGGGATGTGTGGTGTAATTATGCTGCCTGAAACTGCGTGAAACCAGTTCGACAGTGAGCCTGGTGATAACTAAGGACAAGCCTCGCTCTGTTGCGATCTTCTCGGATCTTCGGGATCCAATGCAATGTCGGCCATCGATGAAAATTCCGTCTGCAAATGAATTTATTTCTCCGCTTGCCAGTCCCCATCTATGATATCCTACATTCTATTCGTTTAATTTTCTATTCTCTATCTGGGATCTTCGCCTGGTCTTTCATTCATGATTCAGCAGCTATGAGTAACACGGTAATCACTGTGAACCGTTTCAATTATCGTTTTAATTATCGTTTGCTTTAATTAGCTCGTAGATTCTACGTTTTTCCCGTTTTTTATCTTCCGCTTTATCACCGTGCACAGCTGGCTCCCTCTTCGCTATTATCACCTCGACTGTTTACTATTTGCGACTGGTCGTTGCTACTTCTCATTGTTGCAACTGCAATTATCTCTGCCACGCGGAGAACTACTCGTGGATTTTTTCTTTTTTCTTTTTTTAGCTATCCTCTCTACAACAGTGTTTGTTGTTCCTGTTATCGCGAGGAGTTGCTCCGCAGTTGCGGAAGCTTCCGGATCATCGATGGGTCCGGGTCAAGCTGAAACGCAAACCCTTTAAGTAGCCTCGGGGTTTTGTTCGTGTGCCTTTGTTTGGGGCTTAACCATCGATATTCGCGCTATTATTTTTCACCCAGGGGGATATCAGAAACCTCTATCCGGCTCTCCTCGGCCCCATCTTCTCGCCAATTCCCCAATCCCAATAGAGCAATTTTAATTACCTCTGTAATACAGCTCGGTTGTCAATGAAAAACGCTTAAACGACCTGGGAGGTACGTAAAATATAATTACCAATTATCCACGCTACGATTGTTCCTAAACGAACAGCTTAACATTCCGATGCTAATGGCTAATTACAGCAGGTTTTGAAGCAGACTGTACAACGCGTCTCGTCGAACAGTTATGCCATAGGTGGTTTCGAGCACGTATTAATACCTGCAGGAGTTCGTGGTAATATGCAGATCATTGCTAGTGCACCGAGAATCGCGTAAAAGGAAGAGGCATAGACGTGGATCTAGGTCCTCGTGAGGATCAGCAAGAGTGGTACTTCTGGTCATGTTTGTGGAGATGATGTGAACGACATAACAAGGTCGTAAAATCAAGCGAGCACGCAAGTATGTATTTAGAACGGTTTCAACTTCCGAAATGGAGACTTTGGGTATTTTTTGGGGAACGAGGTATGATATTAATTAGGAATAGGTTCTCCAGTCATTCTATGATATTATTCTTTCACTATCTCCTGCTCCTTCAATTGTTTCGAGTATCGTCAATGATGATATAAGAAGTATTCAAGATTTTTTCAATCTTCTAGAATTGGGGAATTTTTGGAATTGGGAATTCTTCTGAAATCAAAGATGCGTTAATGAATATAACAGAGACACCGTGCTTCGTAAAGAATTAAAACTTGGAATAGTTGAGAGGGATAATTATTAGATAATAAATCAAGTTAAAGATTAATCGTGATTTTATTATTTAAGTACTGTGGAGAGTGATCCCTGTTCAGATTTTATATTAAGAAATGGTACTTCATCTAATACCGATATGCAATTGGCGCGTTGAGATTCTACCGCAGCGCCATCTCGAAGTCTCCTAATACTTGGTATAAACAAACCACGCCACTTAGATTTGATGTCGAAAATACCACTATTTCGGGCCACGATCTGTAATTATTGCATTTGAATTAAATAATAACGCCTTCTCGATACTTAACCTAAAAAAAGAAATTGGTCCTATATCTAAGTGATTCTGAGATGAGCACGTGACGATACGCAGCGCCACCATGGTGCTACCGATCTTTAATACAAACAAACCACGACGCACAGTTCAGATTTTCTATAAAAACAAATAGCAATGCGTTTATATGTAATCAATACGTACGAGTTCTACACTAGCGCCATCTCGGTCTTATCGAAATTCAATATAAATAAATCATTGCATTACCTCCTGCTTTTTAGAATAAATCCTAGATATAACATAACTCGCCCGACTATAATTGTTTCACTTCCCGATATGTTTTTTCTAGTAATTTTTAACGTTGACACTGTTAATTAACCATCCGTGTTGGTCTACAGTTTACGGTTAAATACTCCCGGCTGTAAATTGCAGACAATCCCGAGTGCAATTCCGACATCAATCGGTGCGGTCGTTAGACACGATAATTTACGGCCTCGTTGTATCGTTCGAGCGAGCTGTGCGTAAAAACTGGAATGATTCAACAAGATTCTAACGAGTGTCAGCAAAACGGTCGGATTAGAGGAGCCACGGGTCGATAAATTATATAGATGTTCCGGAAACAATCGGCGAGGTGAGGCCATCCGCGACGCGGCTGGCATCCTAATTCGTCGCGCGCGCCGTTAGAGGCGCTGCTTTATTACACTCTCGCATCTCGTTACGATGAGTCACGAACAGGTTCCGCTTCGAAGCGGCGAATTTTAAATAATTCCAACCGTGTTATTCTTTCGCGACACGATGCTGTCATCGGTTCGAATTTACGCGATGCGGTCATCCGCCGGGATGATGGAAACGGGAATGAAGATCGATGGAGATCGATGGAAGATCGACGATTCCATCGATCGCGAAACGGGTTCGATTTCCATCGAAATAAATCCAATTTCCTCGTTTCTCGAACTATCTTCTATA